ATATCTGATTTTTCCTACGTTTAGTATATGTCAGCGAGTAAGTAAATATTAGTAATAAAATTGTTAATTTCACAAAATAAAACCGTCTTTTTGATCCAATATTTTTACTAATATATCGTTATATTCGTTTTTATCCATCATATAGATCGCTAAATAATAAATAATATCCTCAAATATAAATCGTTACATCCAATATTTACTATTTATGCAATATATACTCGCTTTCATTTATTACATTGTATTATTATTATTCATGTATTTATATATATTCGCTTTCGCTGCGATTAGAAATTTTTCGATTGCAATGATTTCTTAGAAGAGAAAGAAAATTGATGGTTATTGTGTGCCTAAATTTACTTGAATGTTTAAATATCGATGACGAGCGATGAAAATTTTATTCCAATTTTAAAGGAAGGAATAACACATCTGCTCTCGATTAATTATTACTAGAAATTTTCGTGAGGAAGTCATTGTTTTCTCGTCAAAGTACAGGAATGGGTTAAGCTGAGAGCGACTTGCAGGATCATCAGCTCTATGCCCATCGATATGCATAGAAACGATATACAGTAATGTCTCCCTTACTGACGCTCAGAGTTAGCACAGAAATGGACAATTTGGGAAGAGGGAGATACGATTATTCGAATCCTTGCGGTTTATTTTTATAGTCACGAATTGTCAACGACTATGAAAACGTGCTGCAGGGCTCGAATAATCGTATCTTTTCTTCCCAAATTGTCCATTTTTGTTTACGAGCTGAAGGAAAATTAGCGAGAATTTACTGTATTTGCAACAATTGCAAGAAACTAAGCTATTTATATAATTAGCGTTAATTTACTGTACTCATGTAACGCTTATTTAATCTAATTTTTACTACCTTTTTGCACTCCGTTTTGTTCTAATACTTACACGATGCTTACGTCAAGGTTATTATATTTATTATTAGGTTATTATATGATTATTCTATGTGTGCTAGCGGCTCATTTTTATGGTTGCCGGTTGTCAACAACTATAAAAACAAACCGCAAGGCTCGAATAATCGTATCTCCTCTTCCCGAATTGTCCATTTTTCTGGACAATCTGGGCGTCAATTAGAGAGAGACATTACTGTAATTCGGCTGCGCGCAGAGCGAACGTTATCGTTCGGAACTTTTCGTTCGATTGATATTTTCCTTTGTCGATCGAACACATCGAGGATCGAGGCGGATCGATTCGCAAGTGTGCCTTGCCAGTGGCGCGAACATAATTACTAATAGGAGTGAATTGCAGTACTCCTGAAAGCGTCAAGTTAACAATGACCGAGGCAAAGCATAATTAATAAATTCGTACCTCTCTGGACGGCACACGATTGAAAACACGAAATGTTCAAATCACAGGATGCATTTGTACGCGCGCGCGCGCGCGCGTACCCGCATGTGTGCCCGTGCGAGTGTGCGCGCGCGCGCGAGCGCGTTTTCGCGTGTGTCGCTGAATGGATGGGCGTTCGATGATTGCCTGATGGTCGATTGACGAGCATTTATCGAGGATTTAATTACAGGGACGTGCGTGATTTCTTCCATGACAATGACCGCGAGCAATTTTTAATTAACACACGCGACAAAGTGGACAAAAATGACGGACGCCGATCGATGCGTCGGTAACCGCAGGCCTTTGGTTATTCCCGCCTCGTAGTCAACTAACGAAGACGGGGAGGAACAAATTAATTTGCTCCATCGAAGGGTAAAGACCCGAATTTTTGTCTTTTGTTTTTCCACGACCCCTCTGCTAAAAGAATTAAGATAGAAAATCGTACGCTACGGCTGCGCGAATATTCCATAGAGAATTTTACGCGATATTCAAACCGCTCTACGTTTCAGCGATGCTTATTGTTTTCCTCGGATGGAAATTTGTATCAATTGTTTGTTCGATCAATTATACATAACTCTGTTCCAGACGCGCAGACTAATTTGTCAAACGTAATCGGATGTATTTAATAATATCTGTTCGTGCACGATCTTTTTACGAATCTCATTCGACTCATTTTGGTATACATTGTCCGACTAATACTAACAGATTTCACTTAAAACGCAAACCAATGCGTAGAACGGGATTTTATATACTTTTTCTTATTTTAAATATAATATAATATATATATA